GATTTGAACCGTGACGCTCTGGAAATTAGTAAATTGTGGCAAGCATCTTCGTGCACTCAGCTACAGCCAGACATGTAAATGTGCATTCAAATGTTCAGTTTGATTCAACACCACGTGTGCGTGGTATGAAAGTATTGTTTTTAAATACGAACATTTTAAGACGATAATCAAATAAAAAATATTCATGTATACTATGCGTTATTTCCCCCAGTAAATTCATAAAATTTTTCTTAATATTACAACGCGTTTTTTCGCTCAGTGTAGTCATTTTCATTCAAAATTTGTGCAATCAAATCGAAAACCGGGACACTTAAACGAAACCTGGGACATTTTAAGGTTGGCCCGGGACACCGGGACAAATAGTCTAAAACCGGGACATGTCCGGGAAAACCGGGACGTCTGGCAGCCCTAAAGTTGATAAAAGCGTTGTAAAAAGGATAAGACTCTGTAAGAATTCGTAGCATCTCCCACGGCGTATGCCGACTACATTCATAGAATGTAAATTTAAAAATTAAAGAGCATTTCTTTTTTCTTTCGGTACCTTGATCCACCTAACCTTAGTAATGAAAAAATATTGGTAGTAAAGAAAATAATTGAAACAAGAGTTATTACTGGATACGGCGAAGGAGAATTTAAAAACCTTTTCAGTATTCTCTGAGCCATTGCTTTGATATGTGATTATATGTCGGATGCTCACGAACGGATGTCCGAGTAGTATTTATGCTTCTACACCGCAAAAGGAAACTAAAAGTATTGTTCATAAGGGACCTTAAATCAAACAAGAAAAATAGTTTATATCTCCTTTAATCCTCCTCTCCTTTTATACCGACTCCGAACGGCGATTGTATTTTTATGAGAAGCTGTTTTTCATGGTAGAAAAAGACTCGGAAGTTTGCCGTTGCCCTGCGGAGTGGAAGCGCGCACTGCTTACCACTACACCACCGCGGCCGCCATACTATATACTTTTGCCAAAAATGGCGCCGAAAGATTGCGCTGGAGTCGAGATATTTAGAGAATCCGTCTGTATCGTGCGACTTGGATTAACGGGTATTAACTTTATGGTAAGAAGGGCTTCTACAAAGAAATGGAGCCAAAACATGGATGACTCTGGAACCTAATTATTTAGATACCCCTCTACAAATTTACTTTTTAGATAACTTAAGAAAGCCCCATCCTTTAGGCATGCTTAAAAAGAAGCGTAAAATTGTTTAAACGCCACATATATCCTAGGCACATTAACAGGTCATCGGTATATAAAGAAGAAGAGTGACGAATTAGAAAGAACATGGTAGGAATATCAATGACCCCATTTGAACGGGAAAATCTTTCATCCTGTGGATTAGCAGGATTATAGAAGAAGATTGCGCACTCTCGGCAAACTTTGTAATACTTGCAGATATGTTATAGGTGGATATAGCATCGAAGGAGATTAATAGATATACGATATGGTATCTGAGCGCTATTATTCTTGGCCCATGAGTAAGGTAGGTTCTGCTCTGCAGTCGTGTGGACCTAAGCTAATAATTTTTACTTAACAAACCTTTTTTGCTTTTCAACATTTTTCTTTGTATTGGTTAACGCAAAAGTTCTTATCAAGCGTCGCTAAGCAAGCCGGGCGTTTGCTAGTTTCTAATAAAATTTTATAGAGTTAATATAGCCTTTAAGCGCGTAGCTCATTTGATGACTCATTTTATCTTCGAAGATCTGTAGCTGGTAGCTTAATTTTGCAGTTTTTCTTTTGTGAGAGCACCGATGACATTTCACGGAAAGTTTGCTGCTGGATATTTTATAGTTGCGTTTTCCAACTTTTCTGGGTTAAAACCTGTAATACTGTCAAATACTGCCAGAGAACCGAGTACGGGAACGCCTTCTGGTAAATTCCTGTAAATTCTTTCAACTTCTTGCGAGTTAGGGAACTCAACTTATACTGGAGATTTTAAACGAATGTACCTTATGTTTGAAATGTAACCGAATTCATAACGAAGGTTCCGTTTTACTGGAGAATGGCCTAGTTCTCGAATCGAATACTAACCTGTTCCACATTCGTTATCGAAGGTTAGGCTCGCAAAAAAGATTTTGTTATCCAATAATTTTCGAATTGTTAACCAAGTCCAATGTTTATTGGGTTCTATGCACATACATATTTATGTACATAAGTATTTAGTCAAACAAAATTTTAACTCAAACGAAAATTTTTCTGATAGCAGTTAAGGAGTTAAAAGGCTCTACACAATAGCGCTCTTATGTACATTTTACTCTAAAATGTCACAACAAAATACATGCAGCTCTGGGGGCTAAGTCCTATTCTGTGAAAACGTGAAGTGAAAACATTTTTCATCACTTCACACGATCTGTTTTCAAATGTAAATTAATTAATTTGTCAAAAATTACTCACGGAAAACATTTTTCACAAAGTCTTGTGCCTGTGCAAAAGAAACTATCATGTTGTGATAAAGAATATCATTGTCTTAAACTCACAATAATTTATTAAGTAATTACTTGCTAGATGTGTATGAAATAGCCTTTAATGATTGAGAGTCGCTTAAAATGATATAACGAAACGATAAAGTGACAAAAATTAAATTTTCACTGACATTGAATTTTTATTTTCACTTCACTGTTTCATAGAACCAGAATTGGGCCTCTGATGCTATTAAACGGGGCGACAAAAGCAAAAAGGTTTCGAAACACATGAAGCAATCAATACACGCACGAATCTATGGGTCAAATATAGTAAAACTGCGTTTTTAGTTTTCTCTCTGACGTCATGATTTTTTTAAGGGACTTTTTAGTTCCAAAAATATGATTTATTCCAAAAATTATTCAAAAAATGCATTCCAATGTAGAAGAACAGTATGCGTAACAAATGAAAGAAAAAATTCTGTAGAATTAAAAAAAAATAAAAAAATAAAATAGGTATTGAAAATATTATTTTAATTAGTTTTATTTTTTAAGCGATTAAAGTGGGAAGGATGAAATTCGAGGTTGTGGTCGAGTGCATTAGTCCTTAACAAGAAAATTTGTTCGAAAATAATTATGTAAAATTTCAAGGATATTCAATGATAGTGTTAAAAGGACATTTTCAATACCTAATCGTCCGTATGTACCAAACAATTTGATCGGCCTTAATTCTACAGAATTTTCTCTTTAATTTGATAGTCATACTGTTTTTCTACATTGCATTTTTTAAATAATTTTTCGAAGTAAATTTATTTTTCAAATTTCAAAGCCCTTTAAAAAAATCTCGGTGTCAGAGAAAAGAAATAAAAACGTAGGGTAATATATTTGGCCCATGGTTTCGCGAATATATAAAATTTTTTGTGTGTAAAATTTACTGTCGCACGGTGTTACCTTTCAATATGCTTTGGAACCAATTTTTTGAGAGGAATTAAGCAAGGGGGTTTGTCTCCCTTTGGTTGGCTTAGATAAAATGTGTAACATTCCAAAACTTATTGGGAGATAAGTGCGCAAGTCTTTGCAAGTATATTTTTTTAGACTTTGTATAAAAAAAGGCAAGACAAAGAAAAAGTGTTCAGAGTTGGTCGAATTAATGGCCGTCCTAGTCACCAGTTCCGAGTCTATTCGATTGCTTAGTATGTGGCCTTATGTTGGACAAAAGGAGGAGTATAAAGCTGCCTTTACATGAGGGGATTTTTTGACAGGCAATAATCGCCTGCAAAAGTTGACTAGCTGTCTACTTTGAGGCAAGCGATTTTTCTTGAGCAATGTTGAATCGCCTAGAAAATCGCCTCATGTGGCTTGCGCATTTTTCTTAAAGTGTTTGCCACAAAACACTTTTTTCTCAAAATTTATAAAGGACCCATTTATTAGAAAGAAATCTGGGTAACAATTATTCATCGCCACCCTGTATATATTAATAGGCTAACATAAATTTTGTTCGCCTTCGTTTGGTGCAAGGCGAATTTATATAAGCTGGTGTTACTAGATTACCTGATTTTGTATACATGTGTGTTTCGCCTCACGGCTGCTTGTGTCAAATTGAAAAATTTTGTTTGCATTTCCACACACACTCTTACAGACTTTGACAGTTTATGCCGCCAAAGCAAAAACAAAATGCATGTAAATTTTTGTTTTTGTACTCCTGCTATCACCTTATGTTAATTCGTCTTGATTTGGCGGTTCTACTGAAACCAAAAACACCATTGAACATCTATTTTCTTGTGGAAGACGAGAGTTGCTGCAATCGCCGTCTCGAAATTTCCGTATTTGTGTTTTTCGTATTTTTGTATTTCAACTCGAAGACGAATACAAACGCGAATACGTATACAAATATCAATACGAAGACAAAGACAATTACGATTATGAAAACAAATAAGTAGAGCAGTCGAATATGAATTTGTAGACAAATACGAAGACTAAGACGAACACGAATACGAAGCCGGACACGAATACGAAGACGGACGCGAACCTGAGTAGTAAGACGAATGCTACGCCGAATACGAAGACGAACAAGAATGCAGGAACGAGTAGGAAGACGATTACGCAGAATTTACGGAGAAAAATACTCAGCCAAATACGCAGACCCACACGGAGACGAAAATGAATACGTATATGAACACAAAAAAAGACGAACACAAATACGAACGTGCCCAAACGAAAATGAATAAGAAGACGCATTGGAATTCGTCGACGAAGATGAATTCGAATACGGGGACGAATACGAAGAGAAATACATACGAAAAACTCTTATAAAAATTTAAAACTGCAATTTTCAACTCTATGCTAGTGATGTAATAAACTTCGTTAAACTTGAAAAAAGGCTCAAATCCTAAAGGCATAAATAAAAAGGATGAGTTTCTTTTGTTTTCTGAGCTGCTGCACAAGGCACACAACAACTGTTAGGGCCCTTTGTACCCTCAAAATACTTTTGTAATAAAATTTTTATTCCACATAATGTCAAATATCTTTATGAAAAATGAATATAAAATAATAATTACAAATTAACTATGGTTTATTGAATTAAAATATGTATATGTATCTTACCGATCACTTGTAAGTAGGGCCAATAACGCAGCATCTTTATTTTCGTCCTTTGATACGGACAACAGAAGATTATCTGGCAGTGGAGTGTCACTTATGACACCACGTACGCCATCCGTTATGCCTAAATGACTAATAATGCTTAGCCGTGTTGGTAACGTTGCTGTTGCAGTTAGGCCCAATACTGTGCGAATACCCAAGTTCTGTCTTAGAACCTTGCAAATCATCAGATAGCTAGGGCGAAAATTGTGACTCCATTGCGATACACAGTGCGCCTCGTCGATGCAGGCAAAGGCAATTGGTGGTAGTTGCCGCAGAATTGCGCCAAAACCAGTGGAACGTTCGCCAGCCACTACTGCTTCCGGTGACACTAACAAAATATCCACTTCACCAGCAGATATTTTCTCCATTACCTTAAGTTTCTGTTGGGGTGTTTGATTTGTGTGTAGGCAATGTGCTCGCAAAAAATGTGGCACACCGGTCACCTGATCTTCCATAAGGGACACGAGCGGTGATATAACTAATGTTATTGCCCGTCTGCGATGGCTATACAAATAAGCGGGCAACTGATAACATAACGACTTTCCGCTGCCGGTGCTTAGAGTAACTAACGTTGAAAGACCAGATAGTATACGCATAATTGCACGGTCTTGGCCTTTTCGAAAATTGGTATGACCGAACATACGCAATGCATCTGTTACTTCGGAGGGAACGTCGGTACGTACATTTCCTTCGGAATCGAGTTCATAAAGAGGACTGATATCGCCAAACTGTGTACCTGATATTTTTTCATTCGTACTTGTCGAATGTAAACCGGCTTCTTTAAGAAAACTTTCTGGAATTTGGTGACCTACATATTTTTTAATGGGTGAAACTTGAGTAGTCGGAGTGGATAATTGTTCTAGGTTTATATTTTCAAGCTCTTCATCGCTTTCAAAACCCATACTATTCTCGCTTTCATAGTCATCAACAGAGTTACCATTACTTCGGTTACCGCCCGTGGTCTCCTCATCTACTTCTTCATCCTGCTCATCTGTGTTTTCTTGCTTTTCTCTTAGGCAACCATCTTCACTGTTCTGATATAACGCAGTATTTGGTGCAGCTGGCAATTTCGATATATTTCTGCTGTGCACCACAACCTTATTATGAGCTGCCATACGCTCGGCTTCTTCAAGTGTTGGAAATGGTGAGGGATCCTCTTTGAGCTGTGCTGACAGCGGCAGCAAGGAGTCTCCCTTGACCTTACATTGAGAGGCGAAATGACCCACTTTCCCGCAATTGAAGCACGTTAGAACACCTCCGTCGCAGCCGCCCATGTCCATGTCTGGGCCGGCAAGAGCAGCAATTTTCTTTTTGTGACGCCACTGTTTTTTCTTGTACTTAGAATAGTTCATATGACGTTTTCCACGTGCAAATATCTTTTTTTGCAGGTTTATAGAGACATAGTTTTCATTGAGTTTTCCCGCCGCAATTTTTGATTCAAGTTTCTTTCTCTCCGCTGCTCGTTTCTCATCGATAATAGGTGTTGGGGAGGTTTTAGCCTTCGAGGCTGACGTTTTCGCAGATGCAAATGAGATATTTGTACAGTTTATATATTGCTGCGCTACATCGTCCGCTTTCTCCAACTCACTATTTGCTACACGGGGAGTACAAATGAGATCACCACGTTCGAGCAGCATGTTATAACGCAACAATGCTGCTTCTGGCGGTTTTTCAACAGGCTCTTCTGAAGACGCTTCCATATTTGTTACCGTAACATCCGAAGTAACTTTCGAGTCCACAGCTTTTGATTTAGCTCTAGCTGGAGTAATTCTTTGAGAATTTGCTGATCTCTTGGCATTTTGTTTCAATTTTGGCTTTGCTTGCTTAGAAGATTTCCCTCGCTCTGACTGCTGAGATTTCACTCGCTGTTTAATAGCTTTTGTTTGTTTGCGATTCGCTTTAGTATTTTTAGGTGGTGAGTAATCTGCATCTTCAATGTCATCCGCTGAAAAATCGTAAGGGTCTACGTCTTGAAGATTTTCTGAGAGACTTACGGTATCTTCAACCGCTACCTTTTTTAAACTGTTGAGCTCTTTATTTTCCGTTGTTAGATTACGTATTTGGTTTGTTTTTTCAATTGTCTTAAGTACTTTACGCCTTTTAGCCGCGTGCACGTATGTTTGTTCTTCCGCCTCACCTGCACTATCCGAAACAACGGAGTCTGAATCCATTTCCATATTTACTTCAAAGGTTTCTTCTTTGCGCTTTCCGATTTCTCGTCTTGTGCTCTTTCATCTGGCTTTTCTTCTTTCTTCGTCTGGTTTACACTGGTCAATAGCTTTAAAGTGGTCACATTGATATTACTTAGTCCATAACGTTTTTCTACATTGGAGTGTTTGAATGTGCTGCGACCGATTGAAGGACAAGATGTTGTTGCCGTCTACCACAGCTCCTTTTATGGCATCATCGATAGTGTTACGGTTCAACCAGCCGGAATCCACTTGTATTTGTGAGGACGATTCTTTGCCTGAAAATTTATCGATTGCAGTATTTTTAACAAACAAAGAAATGGGGTTTAGTGTAAGATTTTACTTCTGGTAAATAAATAAAACTAGGAGTGGCAGTTTCTGCCGAATTTCAGCCACTTTTCTGGTTTTAAGGGTACCGAAGATTTGTTCGCCTTTGTTTAAGTCGCTGTCTTTATACACGTAATCGTCTTTGTACTGGTTTTGCCATCACCTTCATGCTCGTTTTGGTCGCTATCCTCGTATGCTTCGTAGAAATGTGTCCGTATTAGTATTCGTATTCCACTTGGTATTGGTCCTCATATTCTCTTTCGGATTTTTATTCATTATCGACTTCGTCGTCGCACTCTTCTTCGAATTCATTTCCTCTTCATATTCGCATATCTTAGAACTCCTCTTCGTAATCGTCTTCGTATTTATCTTGTTTTTCATCTTCGTATTCATCTAGTCAAATTCGTTTCAGTGCTGTCCTTAAATTCGTCTTCGGCATAATTTTAGAATTCGTCCTC